CGTAATTTCATTATTTAGTTTAATATTTATTCGTTTTTTTAATATCTTTTTCTATTGTATCAAGAATCCTTTGAGGAAAAAAACTATTGTATTAATAATTCCTTTAAAAAGTTATGATACTTTTTATTATCAAACTTGAATTTGCATTCTTCTACGAAGACTGAGGCTCACAACTCAATTTCACAACTCTGAGAAATGACAATGGAATCGATGTCGATGAATTATCCATTTCTCACTGGATCATGATTAATTCTTAACTGAGGTTTAACTTATTCTTCATCTCTTTCTAATGCCAGAATTGGAAAGAGATGAGAAATAAGTTGAACCTCGGTTCAGAGTTAACCGTAAAACTGAGCCTAAGGGTTACGTATTCATTGATTTACCTGTTATTCTCCCAACACGTCCGTCGTGATAAGCTCCGGCGAAGCCCGCCACATAAGAGCCCAGGCTATGGCCACTAATGTGCACGTCCTTATATTCCAGGTTCGAGTCCCGATTCAAAAAATCCAAGAACTGGCCTAAGTACTCACCAACTAGACGCGTGTTCTTAGCCGCCACCGGATAGGCGTCGGACGCCAAGATTCCCCAGCCGACGACTATCACGTTCACATCCTGATAAAGCAGATACGCTAAAAATGCAATTAAATGTTATATCTCTATCTTAAAAAAAAAACATATTTTTTTCTTATTTGGAAGCAACGGTTTTACGAGGACATGAGATCGTCAGATCAAAAAGGAGTGGGATATAAAAAAAAACCTTGGAACTCTTCCGCGAAGAGTTTCTGACGAGAGAGAGCGAGCAGAAAAATTTGCAGAATGATTAATTAAACCATTATCGCATTGACCCTTGAACCGACAACGACGTCGATTCCGTGTTTACCGAAATAGGCTGACCCTGATTGTTTGCGAAAGTAGTAGCTGCGGTAGTAAGGAATGTGAATACGCGATGACGTAATACCTAATTCCACCCACCGTCTATTAGATCACGTATCCAGCCCTCATTTCCGGTATCGCTGAATCCATGAACGATGAACTTGGTCGGCCGGCTCTCGTTGAAGTGCGATGCGTACAGCACTTCGGTATTGTTCAAGAATAACTGCTCCTCGCCAAATGGGTTTTCCCTGTGCGAAGCAATATTGTGAGAAAAATATTGCAACGAAATTGATGCATGATAAACATTAAATTTAAGTCCAAACATTGATTCTCACCGAACATGCAAATTTCCCCGATTTCTTATTCTTCGAGATAATAAAAGAAAAAATTATAACAATGTCAAGAAGTGTCTTCCTCAATCGGCTTGTTTGCCGGAAAGAGAGAAATAAAAAGAAGGAAAAAAAAGAGAGCGGGAATCAATCCGAAGGCGATATTAAGGCGTCAACGCGGCGCGGCGCCTCAACACTCGATAGTCGATCAAACGTCAGCGCTGAGAATAGAATGCCCGCTGATTGCACGTATCATTAAAAAATTGACGCATCCTCCACGGGGCAAGCCGGCGATAGCGGTGCCATGGTGCATAGAAATTAGCCGCGTCGGCGTGTGATTGATTCCTGATCGACGTCAAGATAGCCTTTGGGCCAATTGCAATTATATAAAATAATTATTTGGAAAATATGTCCGAGGGAACTCGGTATAACGATGAAAATGTGAACAGTGAAAATGATGAAAACCTATATATTCGTAGTCGATTCTTATATTCAAGATTGTCTTAATTAAATACGATCTTAAGATGTCATGAATTGCATGAATCAATCAGAAGGCCAGTATTCATAGTTGACTCTTATATTTAAGACTGTCTTAAGTACACAGATTTAAGATGTCATAAGCCAATCAAACGGCTGTATTATCATCTTAAGACATTACTCAAGATGATCTTAAAATAAAAACAGAATAAATACCAGCTTATAATATAATTTCAGTTTAAGGCTTGATTGATGCATGTCTGAGAGTGAAGCGTCTGGATGTCTTCTGTACAACCGCGGGAACGATTCTCTTTTGTTTCCTCTTCCAATTAACTGGACTTTTCACATAAATACAGTTGTTATCTCATGTATCACACTGAGATGCAAGACAACATTATATTCCACTTTCATATCTCATCGCAAATCGTTGTTGCAACAATTAAAAAAGATTATACGTACCTGGTGTACAATTTGAAGGTTGCTGGTTCGCGTTCCAGCACCGTCTCAACGATCGACGCTCGCGCGTTGTCATTAAGCAGTGTGCCCTCCGGATACGCATACGCTGGAATTAACAACTGAGGAATTAATCGGTTGGGATTAATCGGTCCGCGTCGCGAATAAAATTCATGGAAATAGAGAGGGGAGGGCAGCGATTTGTGCGTTTCGGTGCGAGATTCGAACCGGTACGTCCGATTACCTGACCAGATGAGTAGGAAGGTTGAAAAAACGAGAAGCTGGATCTGTGACATGTTTCGGCACGGGGTGCTGCGCAACATACCAGTCTCTACGAGATGCACCGGATTACTACTTTAACTTGGTCAGCTTAACGTCGAGCCCGTCATTCATCCCGCGCGCTTTCTTTTTGCTCCTCCACCAGCTCTCGGGAGTACGATAAGAGCGCCTAATGCCCGCGTACAGCTTTAATTCGTTGACACAATTTACCATCGCGGATTTTTGACAATCACCTCCTCGCCACAGCCACGAATCTAATTCCGTTCGATGCATTTCAAATCTGAAAAAAATTAACTATGAAAAATTCAATAAATCGCAACGAAATCGGAACAGATAAACGTATGGAGATAATCCGACTTTAGGAGGAAATCCAATTAACTTCAAAAAAATTCTGTATAAAAATTAATTGTTTTACGCAAAAGGTTTTTAAATGATACGTGTAGATATTTCAAATGTGTACCTTATTTTCTAGAATATGAATTATTTTTAGACAAAAACATGCTGCATATACATATGATAAATTGCCATATTACCCATGCCATATTACTGTGCGTTGCTCATTTGTTTATCTGAAGGTTATTAATTAAGGTTATGCATTTTTAGTATTAATCGTTAATGCTTTCTTTTTTTTCCTCACCGTTTTTGGATAGAGGATCTTCTATGCCTCTTAAAAAATCATTCGTATAATAAATTTATATAAAATATATGTACGCGATCTATGATACCGACTACGATTCAAGTAAGTTTCACTACAATCTTGGGACGTTTTTCGACAGATTGTGCCTCACGCAATTTTCTCAAAATGGCGTACGCATATAGGCGCATTTATGAGGACGATCAACGGTGAACCGTCAAAACTGGCACTACGTGGTGATCTCGAATTTATTTGCAATTACAAGCCTTGGAAAATGGTACATATATAATTCAATCATTGAATTATTTCTGTTCGATTTATTGATAAGTTGTTGGATTATTTCGATTTATTGATGAATTGTTTTTATTTGTGTTTATCTTATTATTAAGAATGTCATCAACATCAATCAACATATTCGTTAACTCGTTATAATTCGTTAACTCGTTTCCAAGTCTTGTCGTTTTGAAATTTACTCGAGTCATATCATCGGATTATTTATTTATTGTTATTTTTTATTTATGTTTATTTTTTACGATTTTTTTTATCTAAGTTATATAATAATAGTACACTAAATTATATTTGTTTTTTGGCATATAAAATTATTACATGTTGACATCAATTTACATGTCAATATTGATGAGAATCGAATTGCATATATGATAACAAACATGTTACTTATGCTCAATGTTAATATTTGTTTTTATATTTATGTTAATATTTATTTCAATTTTTGTTAAAGAGTTAACTGAATCTATCGATGCATCATGTCGCCTGAGCCTACACAAGAACCTATTCAAGATAATCTGATAGTTCCCAATACAGTCCTGGACGCAAGAGCGGGGAATGATGAGGAAGACAGCGACGACGAAGATATGGGTATGGCGGGATATTTACCATTATCCCAAGTTTCTACCGATGCTGAACCCATATTAGGCGAAGAAGAGGTATAAAGCAGCAATATTTTTTTTCTCTAATGCAAAGGACTTTTAAAAGTCATTTAATTTCTTGAATAACTAAAAACATTCCTTTTTTATTCTAGAATGACGAATGGCTAACCGGATTTAGCGAATCTAATCAAGCATCATCTGTTCCAACAACTGAAACCCAGCAAGTAAGTCTTTAAATTAAGAAAATTACTATGAAAATGTTCGAATCAGAATGATTTTGTTTTATAGTTGTACTATTTACACTTGAATAATATCCAAAAGAATCTTTTCTGCGAGCAAATAAATCAATTACATATTATTATAAATGTTATTTCTATAAATGTAAAGATCCAGCATATTTTATTTAGATTGATATCTATGTTCTGCCTTAAAAGCATGATAATAATGTGACAAAAGCGTGACAATAATATGTAATAATAAACACAATGAATTTGCAATTAAAAAAGACCTACAATATTTTAGAGTTGTTCTTCAGAGGTATTGGAAGTCTGGTCATGTTCGCACAATCGTTCTGACATTGATCTAGATGCAACTAAGATCAAAGAAGTAAAATCCGTAATGGCGTCCATTACCATTCCCGAAGCTTGCATTCCGCAATGGGCAAATGCGATCTCGGAAGAACAATGGAAGGAGCAACTTCTCATACGCATTAAACAGATGCAGGATAAAGATTTGCAGAGCTGAAGTTGCAATGAGTTGAGCTGGTTACAATAAAGAACTAAAACTCTTTACTGCATCAGCTGCACACAACGAGCAGTATATCTGGAATTATTTAAAGTATGATTTATTATAACGTAAAAATGCAGAAATATAATCGAGATGCCTATTAGGCATTGTTTTGAATCATATATATATATATATTTTAGCATTTAAATGTAAAAGAATAAAATATTTGATTTTTATATCAGTTAAGGTAAAAGCTGTTTTGAACAGAATTTTAGCATCTTGTTAATGCGTAGGATGTATAATTGTGGCATAAGAGGAATATAAATCAAAACATATTCGAACGAATCGCAAAGTTTTTTTATTATTGTCGTTTTCTTTTCATACGGTATGTTGAAAGCAGATTATAGAGATATATAATAGATTAGTTTAATTAATAAACGTCGTTTTTCTCGATGAGGTTGCGCTCAAAATGAATAAACGCATGATACCTCATCTTGATGCTATTCTAGTGAAATCTCTGATGTATTCTGAATCGCAAACATTCAATTGCGCGCTCAAATCTTTCCCATTAGCATACTATAGTTCATCGCATCCATCAAATAATCTATGTGATTGAAAAAGGCATGAATACGATTTTATAATTCAAATTCCGCGTCGATGGTAGCGGCTTTGACTGGATTGAGTTTCTTCCGCAAGGCAGCAACATCGTCTTCTATTTTTATCAATTTCCGATATTTCTGAAAAGAAATAAGTTATCACATTATTTTTTTTGTATTATATTATAATAATTCTTGAATTATATTACGTGTGTAATTCTTTTTTACGATATTATATACCTCTGAGGTAGTTCCGGATGTAACGCACCAGATATAAATCATGTAACCTGGAATGCATAACATCGAGGAAAGACCCGCGAGCCATCCCAATAAATGGCTCCACCACGGAAATTCATACGTGAGGTATTTCACAGGGACGAATTTAATGATATTAAAGATGAACACACCCTATATATAAGAGAGAAATACAAAATATAAATCAAAAGTAGCATATTAGTTCGAAGTCACGTATAATCTGGACAAATTGGATAAAGTTTTACCACGCAAATAGCAGGTGTGGTAAATGTCCAGCATATTTTCCACCAGAAACAAGGATAGTAGCCTATCATGTCTCGTATGCCATCATAAAATCGGTCCACCCCGAATGCCCATGAGACGGAGATGCACTCGAAGAACATCAGGAAGAGTAAGCAAAATCCGCTTACGGCATACGTGTCCAACAGTTGAAACACGTACATTCCGCCCTAGATACAAAATTAATTCTGATTAGTACTAAGAAAAATCTGATTGATCTTCTCTTGTCAAAAAATACAAAATTAAAAAAATAAGATATTTATACACTCTTATTAAACATTTTTTAGATATTTGGAAAATTTAATCTACTCACTTCTGTGACGCATAGAAGCCCGATTAGATACGAGATCAGACATACAATCGCGATGAACAATTCCTTCCGTTTTCTGAGTGTTCGCGGCCACTCATCCACAGCAGCGGTGATGAAGCCCTCCATGGTACAAAACTGGAATGCAACTTACTTTTAACATTAACATTAATCCGTGATAGTTCTAGAATAACAGAAGTCGATCCTTGATTTGATGAATGTACATTACCTGACTATCCAGCCCTATTAGAAGAAGCATAAAGAAAAATAGACTTGACCAAATTGACGCCCCGGGTAGTTGCAATACCGCCGAGGGATAAACTAAGAAGGCCAAACCGGGTCCTAATCAAAATAATGAATACAACAAAATTATTAGTGTTATAATTCGAAATAGATTAAAAGGAAGGATAATTACCAGAAGCAGCTACATCGGCCACTGGTTTCTGTTGTTCATGGGCCATAAAACCAACCACAGAAAATATGACTACTCCGCTAAGCAGGCTGGTACAAGTATTGACTCCACATACGATGAGAGCATCTCTATAATGTATTAAAAAGACTGCATATGTATAATCTGCTATACAAATGATTTTTATTATGCGCTCTGGAATGACACCTTCTCAAGCACTAAAATAAACTTTGCAGTATAATAAAAGTCATTAGAATTCAGGTAAAATAATAGGATATAAACATGAAAAGAAAATTGAACGAAAATAATAAAATAAAGTGAAGAGAAAAAATAGAAATAATAAAGTCAAATTAAGCAAATAAAATCTAACAAAAATAATAAAATTAAAGAGGATAAAAAATAATAATCGATAGATAGAAGATTCTTACTTGTAAACATTATTGTTAAATTTGTTGTAACTGCCTAGAGCTACCAATGCGCCTAGGCCGAGAGCGTAAGTGAAGAATATCTGCGTTACCGCGTCTATCCATACCTGCACATATTATACAATAATCATGTCAATAATTGTAATATCTATATTCTAGTACAACTAAAAGAAAAATCGACGTTGTGTTGATGGTTTTACCTCAGGATCGCCGAGTTTCGAAAGATTCGGTGTAGCATAATACTTCAAACCTTCCGAAGCGCCGGGAAGCGTCAAGCCTCGCACGAGCAGTACCACCAGCAAAGCATACGGAAAGAGCGCCGTGAAATAGACGACCTGTATTACATCGTGTAATTCATACGCTACGTCTGAAAGTGGTCAAGATTTATCATAAGCTCGCTTTACCTTGCCGGTCCATTTAACGCCTTTCCAGATGCAAAAGTAACACATGATCCACACGACCGCGAGAGTGCCGGCCAGTTCCCATCTTATATTACCTACGTCTTCGATGCCCGAGGATATCATTAGGGTGCGCCTCCTTGTAACAAAAGGCGCAGATATTTTTTGATTGCACTGTAATTGATTAACTAAGGTATCTACTGGACCAATAATTAATCCCAATTTATAATTACTCCCAAAATTCCTTCACTGGATCCTTCAACAGCCTGTGGCTCAAATTTCCGAAGGATGTGGCACATATGACATTATTTGGCCAGTAGTCGTCCTGCCAGCATGACACGTTCAAACGTTCATCAGGCGTGATACAGTAACGCGTATTCCACGAGTTGTCGCAGGTTCTCCATGGTACGTCTGTGCACAATTTATATTAAATAAATGTAACAATTTCTGATTTTCTACAGCCCCCCCCCTCCCAAAAAAAAACAAAAAATAACACCTCTTGCAGAAGTGCCATGTATAAAATAAAGTCATTCACCAGCACGTAAGGAGACCAAGAAGTAGAAAAGCGCCCAAGCGAGAATGATGATGTAATACACATTGGTCCAGCAGGAAAGCACGCAGGTTGCATATCCAATGCCTGTATGAAGATCAACATTGTCACTGTCATCCTCCCAAAAGTATTTTAATGAAACTATAAAACTGAGAGTGCTCTCTAAAAATCACCTTTGAAAATAGGTGCTATTTTAAAAACACCTAGACCACCTATCGTCAGCATCTGACCTAAGGACAGTTCCATCAGGAACATAGGTATACCGGCCAGTGCAAGCGCGATGAAGTAGGGCACCATAAAAGCACCACCGCCATTTTTATAACAAAGATATGGAAATCGCCATAGATTTCCCAAACCTATGGCCAGTCCCACGACGGACAAAATGAATTCGATCTTTAAAAGAGAAAAGTACGGAAATTGTATCTATAAGTTAAATCCGGATTCTATCTAGATATTGTGCAGATTGACCAATGTCTCACCTTGCTGCTCCAGTTTCCTCGTTCTGGTAGGTCCTTGGGCCTCTTAATGATCGAGGACTGTCGCAGGCATTGTATCGCTTCAAAACGAAAGTCTGACTCTTTTTCGCCATTGGAGGGAGCTCGGTTGTTGGTGGGCTCGGAGAAGAGGGCCTTCAGCTCCTGTACCGGATTCACGGGACTCGCTGCCGGTTTCCTCGGCAGAGGACTAGTGGATCTGTCTACCTTGGGACGGCCGGTCGATCCCCTTGAAGGCATTATTCGTTGCGGCGACGAAATCGCGGGATGAGATCGAAATTGCAGAACTCACCTCATCCTAACAGGTCGATCGTGAGTGGAGATCGGCTCGCCAACTGTGTGTAACTTGTGCTCTTCTTTCTGATTAAAACGCTGGAACGGGATGGCCGTTGAAATGATGGTGAAGTGGAAAGAGACAGGGAGGAACGAAGGGCTAATTGATAATTATCGTCTATGTATAGGAAGTTTTTGTGACGTGACCGCGTCCTATCTAATTGCGTCGACCTTAACAAACAGAAAGCCCTTTAAGAGCGGCCGGACGTGTTACGAGAGGCTCGAGGAGAGTATGCAGGGGATGACGATAAGTCCCTAATATAAATAATAGATGAAATTTGCGTTCTCGCATGATAATACCCGCGGTCATCGTCGTCGTCGTCGCGCGCACGAGCGCGAGGTGCGCGTACAAGGTATGACATATAGTAGACAAGGGTCTTGATGATGACGGACGATGAATAACGAGCCACTTCCGGGAATCATAGCGTTCACCGAATGCGTTCTCATCGTCACAACCTTGTCCTATTTTATTATTTAATTCATGGTGTCCTGTGTACTGCGATATCGTAATAAATACTTCCCATATCGCACGTCTCGCGACAACGTATGACGAAAAGATCCCATCTTTTTTATTTAATTAGGAATCATAAAGTCGTGCAAAACAATCGTTGTATCAAAAGCTAAATTTCAAAAGAAATTTCAAACCAATTAACAATTTGATTATAGATAATGCGCGCGCAGTATGATGGACAGGTCTATATTTTATTTCAGATATTTTTCCCACGTAACTTCAAAGAAGCAAAAGGACTCCATTGCCAAAGGAATGATTGATGTATTTTAGCTTTGCGCGGAAATCGCAAGCGATACATACGCAGTTGTCACGATCCAAAATATCCAGTCTTCCTGCACTGTCAATGTTCTTGCACTGGTCCTTATCTCGGCATCCTGCTAAATATTCTGCTTCTTCCACGTGCGAGATCACTTCCGAGATCTTCAGTATAGAATGTGGAACTTTTGAGAAGGGGAATGGAGTTACCCCTTTTTTTTAGCCGAACGTTTAACTGAACACGACTTTGAGGTAGGGCTCGCACGGATGCCGAGATTTCTGCCGTACCCCGTCGCGATCTACCCCACAATGATGCTCGGTCCCCCTCGAGCATGAACGCACCTATCTTTCCATTCAACAAATTAATGCCACAGTGTCACTCTATATTTAGGCTGCTCGTACGACACGAAGAGATCGGTCATACGCGCGCGAATTGCGGCAACCAAATGCGATACGATATTTTCCATTTTTCCTTTTTGTTATCATGTGATTTTTTCGATATGATAATAGTTCATTATTACATTGAAGGATACTTTGAAGGAAGAGGCCGAATAAACATATGAGGGCTATAATTAAGTCTCGAAATGATAATTCTTCTCTAAAGAATTTTTGATGAAAAATATTTGTATATGTATATAGAATTAATTTTATGAACAGCAAATAAACGATTAGATATCTTTTTACGTATTTACAGATACCATCATTGAGACGGATGTATAAATATAAATTTGAATATATAGATACAGATTAGAAAATAATTTTGTTGAATTAGCAAAATAATTTAATATAAAATAAATTATACAGAATGCTCAAATTGATTGCTAGAATGTCAAAACTCTTTGCAGCATTGCTTATCATGCTTGAATTTCCTATATAATTATTTTGATAGTCTAAAAAAATTATTTTCAAATCTGTATCTATCTAAATTTTTAAATATTTAACAAAATCGTTCTTTTCATGTATTTTCATAAAGTTTTAATAACTATAATATGATGCTTTTCAAGATATCGAACTTTAATTTATAGGTAATATGAACAAAAAATTCATGCACTGAATTTTCTTCTGCTAACGTATAGCAACGTAGGTTTCTATGGTAGCGTGTAGTAAGAACTTAGGAAGTCTAATGAACACAATTGTTCATGAATTGTAATGAATACAATATAATTTGCGATGATTAAGAGTGTTGCACGATTGCGAGTATTTGTTAGATTTCCTATTATTCGCAGAAACAAATTCAGTGCATGAATTTTTTGTCAGTGTTCTACACCATAAATTCTAAAGTCATATTTTATTTCCTTTCCCACATGAATTTACAAATTTTAAAAATACTGTATATTTTGATTTGTAATTTGGGACTAAAGAGAGAAAACGCTTTAAATACATAATTTTCGAAAAAAGAAAATAAAATTTAATATTGCGTCGTTTTTATCATATTCATATAATATTAAAATAAAATTAAAATGAATAACTATTAGAAGTATTAGAATTAAAAACTACGATGTAAATTGTTATAAACTATGTTTAAAATATGTCTTTAAATGTTTCTTTAAAATTACCTGCGATATGAATTTTCAGCTAAAATTCCTTCAAATAAATATATGACGCAAATGATTTCCATCGCTTCGAGTCCATTGTTTCAAATGGTTTTATATTGCTTAAGCAAGAAAAGCATAGAAAATAAGAACAATTGTATGTGTTTTATCAATTTCTATGTTTAAACTTATTATATCATTATGATACACTTCATCAATTATGCCAATTGTCATTCTGTAGTTATATTTATAATTATTGTTGACATTTATAAATTAAAGAATATATCAATAAACTAATTCTAACAAGATATTGCTTTCTCTGTGCTAGAGATAACATTTTATGTAGCCAGTTTTTAAATAACTTTTATCTATAATATACATATTAGTATAATATGCATAAATATATAAAAAAATTGAAAGACATAATAAATAATATTAAAGATAATATTCGCTTATTTATTAATTGTTATCCGATTTGATTTAATGCAATTGAAATAAATTAGAATTATTTCTTAAATTAATAATAAATAAATTAAATATATGTATATTAAATTTAATTATAAGTTTTACTCAAATTATATCTATTTAATATATTTTTTCTGAAGCATACTTCTCGTCTTCGAAAAATAATTAGAAAACATTTTCACTTGTCATAGTTTTTATTTTAAAAAAATTAAATGTAAAATTACGTACTTTCAATAACAAGCATATTTTCTATTAAAATAAGTAAAATATATAAAAGAAATATTTTCTTTCCAGTAAATTTTTATTGTCATAATGTTTTGATTCTTCATTCTTTATATTTTTCTTTTTATTTTTCGCATACTTTTTGCATCTAATGGAGATAATATTTCAAGAAAAACTTACAAAAAAAAACAATAATTATATTATAATGCAAATAAATGTATGTAATAGTTTACAAAAAAATGTCACCATAAATACAAATTGATTTGGATGAAAGAATTCGATATCTAATTTGATTTCATTCATGTTCATCCAGTAGATTTGTTTTCTCGCCTATCAATAGATACTGCGCCTGTGCGTAACCTAGCTTAACCCAAATCTGAAACTAAACATTTGAACATCTTGTAGCTTGCGGTGGCCGGTGCCGACATGTTTGAGTATATTCATCAATATTGTTGACGACGTTCACTCGGTTGTTCGATATTGAATTCCAGACTAATCCAAACTGCAGTTGCAGTTTTTGACAATTTTGACAATCACGAGAATTCATAAGTTTTGCCTACATTTTCGAGATGGACAAGGAAAGTTATGCTGACAACAACGAAGAAGCAAAGAATCAGACACGGTGTTTTGTCTGCGACGCCGATGTCAAGGGTCGCTTTTATGCTTTGGCCTCTTGCAGAACGCAGAATTCGCAGGCCAGGGTAATCGAGAAACTCGGAGAATTAGTTGGCGAAAGGTGATGAATCTACGTTAAGTGGCCTGCATCTCCTGTACCACAAGACAAGATGTTAAATAAGTTCGATTTCTTGTTACAGATACATGGTCGTAATAACCGAGGAAGATGTGATCTGCCGCAGTTGCGGTATTCTCGTTAACACCTTGGATAGATTGGAAATTGAAGTGCGTGATACGCGGAATCATATTCTGCGCTTTTTAGAACAAAAGTATTCTCTGAATGAAGGAGAGCTTCGCAGTAGTAGTGACAAACCGAAGCCATGTCAACCACCGCAGATCACGAGATCTGGGGTGAAAGAGATTGCCTGTAGTATTAAATCGAACGAGAATGACTCAAATCCAGAAAATAAGAAGATACCATCGAAATCTTTGCTGCAATGCAATAAGTGTAAATATACTACAGGTATCGATTCATTCATGGTATATCACTTGAGGAATCATACCAAGGAATCCCTATCTTGTGATAACTGTGGAAATACAATGCTTGAGGTTACAAAACATAATTGTAACAAGGCAAATGATTTGGGAAACAAAGAGAATGAAACAGGTTGAGTATCACTGAATCAAATAAATGAAATATTGCAGTATCATTAGTTGCTTTCTATTTATATCAAAATTCAAATAATTATTTCATTTATGACATCATAATTCAGTTGAATGTACATTTCTTTTCATTCTATTAAGTGAGATTTAACAGAATTTTTATCTACAATCTGCATAAGCTCATCATGTATTTTACTAAATCTTATTAATTACTTACATTAAAAATGATTTATCATTAAATCACTTTGTCATCAAAGCATTATAGTCATTTTGAATATAAGATATTTGCATAATTTTAAAGTTAATATCACTTGTGTGAAAATGGAAAGCAGCTATTGTTTTGAGTTCTATAATTACACAGGTCCACAAAAAAAAATATCCTGTGCTGGAGGGGAGACCCAGCACAGAATCCCCTTTTTTGTGGGCCTGTGTTATTGACATTGATATATTACAGGTAATTCTGACGTTAGCAAGAATGAATCGGTAACACTATTGAAATCAACTCAAATGCCTTTTACTCAAACTACGCCACCGCCATTGACATCTTTCCAGCAAACAAATTGCAATCCCCCGAATGACACCCCTACGTTACCAACAAGCAAGTATTTACCAATAGATTTTAATATATTACTGTGTGTAAATGTATCTTAAAAAAAATTTCTTTTTACAAAAGATGATTCCACATCCTCTCAAGAACCAGTATATATTCTACAATCGATCGACATGACTGATACTGACAACTTAAAAAAGATAACAAACTTAGACTTAGATCTTGTGCAAAAAATGCAATCGAAAAGCAAGGATACAAAACAGGTGTTGACTGTGAAAGATGATGGAAGTCTGTTAGTGGTAGAAGTGCCAGTATCCTGGAAAGCAAAAGCGCCGATTATTAATTCATTATCGTTCGAGCAATTATAGAAGATTTAAGTAGAGTTGCAACGAATATTAGGTAACTTCGGTAATATTTTTACTATTCGGCCGAACATCAAATATTATTGTTTAAGTATTCGGCCTAATATTAAATAATTTTAACGTAAGAATCGAATTTTTTTTTAACTATAGTATACGCTCTCTTCACAAAAAACAGTGAAAATAATTTTACTAAAAATGAGTACCTTCTATATTGCACAATCTAACAAAGGACCGCATGGAAGTATTTTCTTTGATTTTTATGAGCTCTCACCTCTTAAAAGTGCAATTGAACACATAAAAAATATGTGTATCTTATTTTTGTCTACAAAATAATATTATATATTAAAAGCTCATCAAAATTAGAGATGAATACATCAAAATATATGTTTCTTTGTTATATCAGAGCTATCAATAATAGGTACTGTTGACTTGAAATGTTTCAGTATTCATCTTTGTTACCAGGATTGGCAAAGACTTTTTTTAAGAATAAAACATGGTTCTTAAATATATTTTTAATGCTTTAAACATTATAAAAAACCATGTTTAAAATATATTAAAAACAATAATTAAGTATGTTTTAAACTCTTTAATGTTTTTTGTCAACCTGTTTGTTAATATTCCTACTTACTTCATCACTGTTTTGTCATAGCTTCTACTCTCTCTAATTAGTGCGTTAGAGTAAGAACTATGATAATATGTTGGGGAGCATGCGACACGAACAAACTTTGAGTTATACTAATTATAAGTGGGAATATCGCATGTCCATTGTTTTTATTAACTTTTAAATCGTATACCTCCTTTGAGGTTTCCATCTAGTAATAGTACATAGGTGCGAATTGGGATTTGACATTTTTAATTGCAAGTGCCTCTTGAAGATTAAAACAGATATTTCTTTAAAACCACTCTTTTCTGAAGTATAATTTTCTCACAAATCCTATGGTATCACAAATTTTAATGAAAAAGCATTTAATGTAGTAGGGATAAGCCGCGATAACAACTGTTCATGCACAACTGTCAGCAAATTAAAAATTTTCGTAATGCGAATTCGCACTAGTGTACGGTTTGAAGGTTAAATGTGCCTAATACTCGAATATTCGGTTATCCAGCACATGATTGTCGAATATTCGGTAAATACCAAAGTTAAGTGCCAAATATTCGTTGCATTTTTTTATCTAAAGAGGCTCAGTATTTTTACATTTAGTTAGTCTTACAGATTGTACCTGTCAAAACAAAGTGTAATATATAATAATTTATTATAATTATGTTATA